CCTTTGGTTTCCGAAGACTCACAAAGCAAGCTGGGATGTAAGCAGAGCCGGACACGATTATGGTAGATCTATCATTTACTTAGTAAAAATGCTTTTAATTCACAGTCATGCCTCAGTGTACATTTTTTTTCTCTCTACAAGTTAGGTCTCACACCTAGAGTTATCCAATGTCTGACAAATAACAGAGCATTGAAATTCATTGTCTCTGATTAAATTCAAATGCAGGACAGATGGCTTAGTCTGAGTATGTGTCAGACAGGCAAAGTCCTTAAGATTTTCAACAGGCAAAACCAGGAATTAACTGCTAAGTTTTTGCATTTATTCATACGTTCATGTGCACCATGAATATGGCTATAAAACTTACTTGTGTTCGCACTATATTCAAAATACTCACAAACAAAGCAACTGCTCTCCCTCTGTCAAGCCAGAAGCCCTCATCTCAACCCCATTAACTAAAAGTCCATTTTTCTCATACTATAGGAATTGGGTACACTTCATATACTCAGACACTCAGGGCAACAGCAGCAGCCATCTGAACCTTCAGCTTGCCCACAACCTACAGTTTGGTCCTCACTGCATTTCTGTGAACCCTTTTATTGAAATATTTAATTATTTTAATGAACAAACATTTGTCTATAGAAATAAACAAAGATCAACGAAATGAGAACAAGCAAAGGCGGCTTATTCAGATCTGCCTCAGCAAGAGAGACGGCCACTGTCACTGGCAGAAACTCAAAGCAAGCCTAGTGAGACGGCTTTATTGTGGGGGAGGGGAGGCAGGGGTTGAATGGAGCCTGTCAGCGTGAGGAGGCAGCAGGTGGACCCACTAGACGAGGGCATCCTGTGGTGACTGGTTAGGAGCATATATTTATTTGGTTTTCTTTGGGTCATCTTAAATGGAAAGCAAGAATGACAATTCTGGAACCTGCCAGTTATTAATCAAGTACTGGCCATCTGAGGAGTGTGTGTGTGCATGCGCCCTTGGATTGTCATTCCTCAGGAGCTGTCCACCTTATTTTGTTTGAAATAGGTCTCTCACTAGCCTAGAGCTTGCCAAGTAGGCTAGGTTGGCTGGCCAGCAAGCCCCAGGGATCCTCCTGTTTCCATTTCCCTAGCACTGGCTATATGCCCAGTGTCCTTTGTGTGTGTGCGTGTGTGTGTGTGTGTGTGTGTGTGTGTGTGTGTGTGTTCTGAAGATTGAACTCAGGTCCTAATGCTTGCATGGCAAACTGAGCTCTATTTGTGGCTACTTTTCATGGGGGTTACTTCTTATGAGGGCTATTATTTGGCTTTCTGGACCAGTTGTATAGACATTGTAGTCTGACTTCCTCCAGGTCTCCCTTACAGATAGGCTGTCTTCCTGTTTGGTAACTGCAGAAATGGGTTTGTTTCCTGGTGACTACAAATTGCAGGTGTTTTCTTTTTTTCCCCTCCCTATGTGATCAAGTTCTGATTCGTTTGTATATTTACCCACTCAGTGAACATTTTACAAATAGGACTAGGTCAGGATGCAGTAGCTCAATTGTTGGGGAACCCTGATGCTAGGGTTGTAGTCCTCCATGTCCAGATATCTCTAAGGGGCTCAGCACTATATGGAAGGACGCCCCTTCTCAGCAGGGGGCCTCCTGCTCTCTGCCTGACTTACCTCGAAAGTGCCACCAAGCACAGATGCTTGACCTTATATGGAACATGACCTTTGGCATAGTTACCTGGAGTAAAAACTACCCCCAGGTTTTTTTCTATATGATAATTAGGCATTGCCCGATAGTCAGATGATAGGAGCCTACTGCCACATGTAAATAAAGCATACTATGAGCACCTATCAGCTGAAGCATTGGCTACTGCCTCCACACTATATTTTCCCTAACCCCCACAAAATAAATGGAGCTATTTCACTGAGTCTGGAGCTGTTTGTATCACTGAACCTGCCTCCCCGGAAGGGCTTTCTTCCATCAGTGCTCACTGGCCATCCTGACCCCATTCGTCGCTTCTGCTCCCTTTGTCCTCGTGGACCAGTGGCCAATGACCTACAAGGAAAGGGAGAGACCCCACACTCAATGAATTACCAAGAATACACACAAACCACTCAGAAGACCCATTTACATTCTCTCTCTGCAACTTTATCTTTGGGCACTATTTGTCAGTACCCTTTTGGGGTTCAGCATAGACCCCTTCCATTTGCTTCTTCAGGCCTCATGCCAGGACATGCTTGGCAGCTGCTGGCCTCCTCCTATGTCTCACCAAGTCCACTCTTCCAGACAAGATGGACCTAGCCAGCCCTGGGCTGCCACCACTGAGTCACGTCCCTCTACATTCCAGGCCTGGAACGCAGTCCAGAGAGCCTGACTGGAAATCCAGCACCCCTACTCCTTTGGGAAAGATGTATAATCTCTTCAAACCAGCTCCCCCTTTAGCAGGTGGGGGTAATAATAGAGGCTGCTCCTGCAAATGGCTGAGATCAATCAGGACAATGGGTGTGCATAGGCTTTACATAAACTTGCCAAAGGAGGCACTCACATTCAGAGCTAGTCATGTATTTCTCCCAACAATGTCATAAAGTAACAATTGAAAATTACAGAGGACCTACTATGTGCCAGGCATGAACTTGGTGATTTCTCTAAATTCATTATATTGTTCCATTTTGCTGTTTGAGGTTGTCAGTCAAGCTTGTGTTACAGATGGAGGAACTAAGGCTAAGAGATGTTAAAAAATGACTGTACTTATCTAAATTTGTTGTGAGCATCAGTGAGGTGATTATCAAGCATGTCCTTAATAGTGTCTCCAGTTCACCATGGGCCCTCAGAGGTGACAAACAGAGCATTATAGTTTACAATGACTCTAATCCACTGTGGTAGGCAACCCCACAAACCACAGTGAATAACCTGTGAAGTTGTCCATCCATTGTCAGTTCTGTTTTGTTTTTTGGTTTATTTTTTTTCCTTTACTGATGAAATCACATAATCAGATACAGTGCAATGGGCCCATAGGAATGTGCTCCTCCCTCAGCTGTTCATCTATCCTGATTAGTTGACATGACCTAGTTCTTAACAATGAGAGATTGTCTTACGTAAGCCTATTGAATAAACTATAACTATCCAAAAAAACAGGAACTCTTCCTTAGGCTCTTTTCCCCTTTATCCCCACTTTGACTCACTGGAAAGATGTGCTGCTGTGAAATACAGCTGCCATCTTGTAATCATGAGGACTAAAGGTCCAAGGCCAGAAAGAGAGCAAAGAGAACCCCAGACCCATGACGGCCTATGGTGATGCTTTCCCAAGCACCAACAGTTTCACTACCATGGGCAGACTGTTATGACATATAGCCAGTAGTCACTCAAAGTGATGAGTTTAGGCTGATCTGACTGCCTGAAAGCAGTGAAAAATTAAGAAGCTCAAGTATCTTCTCAACTTGTCTACATGTCCCCACTGAAGTAAAGAAAAAGATCTGCAGACAATGCAAGTTCTGTCCAGGGCTGGAGAGATGGCTCAGCTGGTAAAGTACTTGCCACAGAAGTGTGAAGAACTGTGTTCCATTCCCAGAACCCACAAAAGAGCCAGATACAGTGGTGCATGCTTATAATCCCAACACTGGGCAAGCGCTGGCAGGTGGATCCCTGGAGCCCTCTGTCTTGCCCGCCTAACCAAAAAGCAAGGTGGATGGCACCTGAGGAGGAAAAACACCCAAAGTTGTCCTCTAGCCTCCATATGTACACCACACACACACACACACACACACACACACACACACACACACACACAAAGTTCTGTCCATAACCATCTCCAAAGCAATTATTCTCTGCCTTCCAAGAGCAAGTCCCGAGTCCAAGGCCTGTCCATCAACTTGTACCAACTGTCCCTCCTTCCCTGTCATTTGTTGCCATACATACATGTTAGTCACCAGGTTTCCATGGGTCATACACACTGTGCTCTTGGAATCTGAAGACTCACATGCTTGTTCCCAAAGGCTTGGCTCTACCCCAGCCCGACCCAGCATGGAACTGAGTGATCCTTCTGTCAACCTGAGGCCTCTGCTGGCATCTTGGTCAAAGTCCAACAGTTGTAATTACATTATGCCTGTTTGTGAGACTCCTAGAGTTCCAATTAGGTAGCACTTAGTTTCTGGCTAGGAAAGATTGTACCCAAGGTTGCTTTGCATAGTGAAACAATCACGGGTATGGCCCAAATGATAAAGGAGCACTTGTGACATGAAGCCACCCAGATACGGAAGCAGGAGGATTCATCTGGTCGTACACAGAACCAGCTGTAAACTCAGACGCAGCCAAGTATGCCTACAGGGTCACACTGCACTTTCTGTGCCCTTATGGAGAACAATGCTCATGTACTCGCTTCAAATGGTCCCTAAAGCAGGTGTTAGTGGATGGAAAGGACTGGCCTCCAGCCCTTCATCTAGTAGTTCTCCATCAAACCCCCATGAGAAGCAAAGACTGAATTATTTCTAACATAAAGAACACTGTCTTCACAGAACACAGAATGCAACTTTATATTCCAAGTTATGAGTGACACAGAAAAAAGACATCCTGCTTTGCTTAAAGAGTGTCTGACACTTGGGAGGCAGAGGCAGGAGGATCACCGTGAGTTCGAGGCAAGCCCTGTCTACATACTGAGTTTTTCAGCCATCTAGGGTTATAGTGAGATTCTGAAGAGAGAGAGAGAGAGAGAGAGAGAGAACTGAATTTTTTAGTTTTGGGAAAGGGTCTCCCTTGTAGCCCCAGATGGCTTGGAACTCACTATGTAGACCAGGTTGACCTTGATCTCACAGAGATCCTCCTGCCTCTGCCTTCTAAGTGCTGGGATTAAAAGTGTAAGCCAATTTTTTAATGTATAAAAACTATTTTCATAAACATGGGTGAAAATGTGAGAGAAATATGAAAGAAAACATATTCAGAAAAACATTTGAAATGACTCTGCTTATTAAATGGGGAAAGGGACATTCCCAATGCATAAAATCATGTTATAGTCAAATAAAGACTTACACACAATGAAGAGAAAATCTCTAATAATTTATTGACCTTCAGTTTCACATCGTGAAAAAAAAATAACAGTTTTACAAAACCTCAAAAATGTATTAGTAGCAAACAAGTACATACGAACATGAACACTTTCTAAGTTCTACAGAGTTCAGTACGTGAACCACATACTTAATAGCCAAGAGAGGGATATTATGCAGCTCTAATCACTCTTATTCAGACAGGTGTCAAGCCTGAGAAAGGGGCTTCACAATTACACCAGAAGTGGAAGGCCGCCCTTTGTTATCCGTTTCCAAGGCAACCAGCTCACAAAATGAGAAGAACCTCCTCTGTCTTATGCCAGGGTTTTTTGTGTGTACTGTGCTGTGAATTACATTTGCTTCAAAGTGTGGGACGTTTCACAGGATGAGAACGGTCAAGTAGCTAGCCCAAATGCCTACATCAATTCAAAGAGGTGGAATCTAGAAAGTTCCCTGCAGGCCTGGGGCCCACCCTTGTGGCGTAGCTCCCTCCAGCTCAGGCATGGTAATTAATAGAAGATTCAAGGACAGGCCACAACTTTGAAACAGCTGCAGAAAATTCTCCCAGCTCTCAGAAGCCTTGAAGCGACACACAAATCTCTGGACAGATTTGCATCATAAACTACAGAGCTGGGACTGCTACAAGATGACATGATGCTGCCAGGGTACAATCAGATATTTGCACTGCTAAGAACACATCTAGGGGCCAGGAACTGACTGCTGGAACGTTCTGTGATGTTTTCATTCCAGTGGCTCATTTATTTTATTTTGGTCCAACTACAGTCCACTTACTCATGGCTTAGACAGACACGTACAATTAGCTTAAAGTACTAAGGTGGAGAGAAATGTTAAGGAATTATCCGTCATTAGACAAGGCAAGCACACTCACAATGTAAAAAGCTGTTATCTCTCTTAAACCCTATTTTCTAAAACACAGCACTGTGAGAAATATGGACCAAAGCTGACAGAATTCCAAGCTCTGGTCTTCCCCACACAACTGGGGAAGTGCCTATTGGAGTCTAGCACTAATAATACCTACCACTGCACATGTTTAGTAAACAAGCACTCGAACAAAGAATGTATTCACAACTGATTCCCAACAGGACTGGAAAACCCCTCCACGGGGGCCACCCCTTACAATTCTTTGATATTGTGTGACTAAGTATGTCACCTTTGTGTACCAATGAGCTCTTTCAACATGTATCTAAGGGTGAACACTAAAGTGTACATTGTATCAAAATGGATGTTTTCATGGAGAATTTCTAACCAGCATGGGTTAAATCATGGCAAGGTCCAAGAGCCATGAGCGTGGGTCAAGCAATGTAGTCAGTGAATCAGCTTACATCTGAGACAGTTTAGTTTTTCCCATTGGTGTGGTTATTACAAAGCATTCACCGAGGGTAAATAAATAGATAAATAAATAAACTTTGGACAATGCCTTCACCTGCGCCCTATATACAGAACTAGTCCATAAAATTTCCCCAGGGTTTCAGGATATTACATAAAACAAAAAACCTGTAAAGCAATTTGGTCCTTTCCAAACAGCAGCAGCTGAGACTGAAGTTAGGTCAATCAAACGGGAAGAAGAAGGGCAGGCCCATATCCTGCTCCCCTGGGACCCGCCATCAGCACAAACATACCCACGAAACCTCGGTAAAAGGTGGTCTAGGAAAAGTGACCTCCCTGGTTTCTCTGCCTCTGGGATGTAATTTAAGTTTCCGTTTTGGAATCCTTCTCTGTCCAGACATTTCAAGAATCCACCCCTCCCCCACCCGCCCTCTAGTTTTTACCCTCCAAATTATAACCCCGAAGTTTTCATTTTTGTGCAGCAAAGCACATCAATAGCCACGAAACGTGCAAAACATACAACCATTCACACACGTCCTTACGCGTGAAGACAGCACTAAACGCTGTTTCAGCATGCAGGCATCAAACAATAAATAACTAAATCTAGAACACATTTCTTAACAGCCAAGGGAAGGTTTAAAGTCACTTATAAATAGCAAAGAGCATCTACCAAATGGCTACCAACAATGTCCCCATTGTTCAGAGGCGTTCCTGGGGGGCTCAACCCCTTCAAGATGAGTGGAGAGTCCAGCGGTTCCCATTCTCCATTCAGCCAGCCCAGCTTCCCTCCTGACCCACGCCTGGCTTTGAGTCTCCAACAGCAGCTGGCGTGGGGGCTTCAAGCTCACTCCTCAGAGGAAGGTGACAACCATTTCAAATCTTACACATAAATGGTGGAGCCCACGGAAATCAAATGCTGAATGAGGTACAGCAAAGGAAAAGGCCCAGCTTTTCTCTCCCTTTGAGGGGCTGATTAACGCTGACATTAATCCACAATTACAAGACAAGGACTAGATCACAGGTTCAGTCATTCATATTTAAACCACGTGCTACTTGCACTGAAAAATCCCACCCTCCCTCCCCCACCCCTTCCTTCATGTCCACTTAGAGCATTCACAAGGTGCAGCCGATGGTATTCGAGGAGTCTTGTAGCAACTTCTCCTTTTTTTCTTTCTCTTCATTAAACTTGGCTTCTCCAAAGCAGAAACCTCGTATTGTCTCACTGAGCAGACGGTGTGAGCTAAAACAGGAAGAAAAGAAGAACACAAAACAAGAAGGTATGAAGGGTTTGTGAGATGTCATGGTTTAAGATGTTAGTAACCACAAAATTAAATAAAACAAATTTAAAGTCAGGACAGAGCTGGGAAGTATCACTCCCAAAGGCCCGAATTACATGTTCAGTAGGAACTGTGCAAAATTATGTAAAATCACTTACTTATAAAGTGCACACATGTGTATGTTGGTCCCATGATTGACAGTCAGCCCACAGAAGCAATGATGTCCAAAGGACTCTACCTTCTTTCTTAAACGTTCATATGTTTAAATTCAAACCTGTATATCTAGCTGCTATTATGAGTTGCCATCTTCTGTTTCCAAGAGTCATGAAGAGAGCTACTGTAGCATAATCACTAAGGGATCAAGAGAAGATTCTGGAACCAGCTCTCCTTGGTCCTGGGACCATTAAGATTTCAAGTTCGACATAGTCACACACATAATGAACTCTCTTTTTAAAACACATCTCCACTATCCATCATGGCAGAAATCAATTCGCTTTCTCTTGATGACAACATACTAGGTCTCTCTGGAGTCGACTCTCAGAGCCATGCATACTGATGCTATTAGAAACAAACTCCACCAACGTGGCACCAACTCACCTGTCCCTGTGATTTACTTCTGAATTCATACAGGGCAATTCTGCAAATGGCTTTAAAATACTCACCCTATCTTTTCCTAAAATATATTCCAAGCACTTACTTGGGAATGGATCCCTGGTGCTGTCTCCAAGTACAGACAAAGGGAATTTTTGAGGGGTTGCTCATTAATTGCGTTGAATTTTCCTCTTCGCTTGTGTATGTTCAGAAGTGTGATTCATTTCCTAGTTGTTTCTTTTGGCTGTTTCTTAACAGTGATTCAAGCCTTCAAGGCATTCCTTAGCCTTCCGTGTCATCCCTCAACCCCTCCTCCCTGAAACCTGCATATTCACTTTAGACCAAAAGAATGCATCTTGTGATAATATAAACTTTCAAGACATTACATATTTACACAGAAAGAAAGAGAGACTGAGAGAGACGGAGACAGAGAGAGAGAGAAAAGAAAAAAATCTGAGGAAACAAAGCAAATGGAAGCCCAAGTACCATCAGGTTGGGGCCATAAGGCACCATGAAAACAGAATTTAATTAAAGTAATTTTCCTTTTGTCTCTCTCTCCCACCCACTGATGGAGCAACAGAGGTCAGTTAAAATCTGCTTGGTAGATGAGCTTTCTGACAGGGGAAGGTTCCTAACTCTGGATTAATTCAGTTTGCACCAACATTTGGAGCACAGAGGATGCAGCTGGAGGTCAAGGCCAACATCCAAGGAACATGTCTTTAAGTCACTCCTAAGCAGCTTCAATGTTTTAACACCATCTTGTGTGTGGTAAACATTAGAAATTTAAACCATCATTCTCCCCGTCAGAAACTGAAACAGTGGCTTTGATCAGGCACTCATGTCGCCCTTTAAAGCAGCAAGCTTGGCCCTATCAAGCTCAATTTTTATGTGCTTGACTCTCCCTGGTGGCACCATGGGTGAAGAGGATGTTGTTTCTCATATAACACAGCACTTTATTTGCTCTGTTTCCCAGGGACCGGAAGCATGTGATTAGGTTCAAATACCTTAACACCTTCACTCTGGGCTAGAATACGAAGAGCCAAAACTGAAGAACAGAGATGACTAGCCACTAATAGCCAAAGGAACCTGATGCCCCCAGGACACACAGAGCTAACTAACTCCAGTGCTAGATCAGAGCAAGGCCTCAACAGAGGAAAGAACACTTAATAGATGCGGGAACCTGGCAAGGTATTTTCTCTACCACTTCTTCCATTTGCCAATTTGCCTCTCTGATGGGAACAGATCTTACGGGCTTTATGGTTCCAACCACACATTTAACAAAGGAGCAGTCTTATGGCCAGAAAGATCTAGAACTAGGACCAGAGGCACATTTGTGGCCCCTCTTCTCTTCCCACCTCCATTTTACTACCTTGCTCCCTAGTCTCTGGGTAGCCATTTCTGATATACCACCACCACCACTGGCAAATTTTTCAGCTCCTCTGTACAGATATAGTCAGCTCTGGACTAACTCTTAATTTCATGTGCTGTTAATTGGCACTTTTTGCCTAGGAGGTGCTTTAGACCTGCTTGAGAGTTGAGTCATGCATTCATTTCTCAAATGAAATAACCACTTGCAGTGCATTTGTTTATTCAGGATTACTAAGATGCCAGCAGGGCTGCAAAAACCAGTTTGGTGTGGGCTGCTGTCAGCCTGGGTGCTCCCCAGGTTTCTTCTCCTTTGGAGGAGTCTCATGTCCAGAGAACATGGCACTGCCAGAAACTCCGCTAAGCTGGGACAGGCTGGAAAAGACAGTCAAAGGACTGAAAAACAGTAATGATGAAATGGGAAGAGGAGACCAATCTCAATGCTTGTAAGTGAGCTATGAGACATGGGAAAAGAAAAGGCAAATAAAATGAAACCCCTCTGTTAGCTCACAACCACTCCTAGGTTCCTATTTCCTTTTGAAGCCCCTTCAAATGTATGTAACATTCTAGTTTGAAAGCAGGGCCAAAAGCTTCGAGCAATGCGTTTGTTTTCCCTGTGGTTCCTCTAAAGCAGTTATTTTCTTCTCTTACAATTAGCAGTAAGCCCGTGAATTCCCAAAACAAATCAGCACATCCCTAGTGCCCTGTTAAGCTTACACATGCTGAGGCGATTCCTAGGGCCAGTCCTTAGAATGTCATAGCAGCCATGGGGCAACACTGAACGTTGTAGGCTGATAAATTATTGGAGCCAAGAGTATAATGTACTCTTATGTACACAAGACAACCATTATGTACTCAAATATATGACACAGAATACAACTTTTGTTGGCCACAACAATAGGGTCAGCCTGACTAACTCTGAAAGGATGCAGTTAGGGCGGCTTAGGTGGCTGCATGGATCTGCACAAGATGCCACCTCTCATGAGAACAGATCTAGATTATCCTCTAAAGTTAATGCATGCTCTAAAGGGTGGAGGGGTGTATTTGAGGGGGAAATTTTAAATAAGCTAATATGACTTTGGAGTGAATAAACTAGGAACAAATTTGGGCAATACATTTTTAAAACCCTATTTAAGTACAGAAGGAGTATGAGGAAGCAAAATTGGAATATCAACCCAGTGTCCCTGTGGTAGAGGCAAGATGAACCTCAATGGACACTCATGTGCTACTCATGTGCCTGTGCTCTGGAGCCAGGTGGCCCAGGTGGATTTCTTATCTAACTTTACCTTGCGTTCTAGGACCTCGGGCAACTTACTATTTAGCCTCTGTAGACATCATGCTTGTTCATCTACGCAAGGTAGTAATAACATCTACAGGGTCGTTCTGAGTGTCAAAAGGATTATCCTATGAAGGATCCAGCCTTGCTCCAAGCACACAGTGATATTCCACAAACACTAGGGAGGTCAGGGGTTCTCAACCTAGTCGGATATTAGCATGACTTTAAGTACTTAAGTACTAAGGCCTGGGCCAAATGAAACAACCGTCAATGAAACTGGGATGGCCAGTTTCTAAAAATCTCTTAGACAATTCTGAGGCTCAGTGATAGCTGAGAACCACTGGATTCTGTTACAGGGAGTTGCAGTGGTGGCCAACATGGGCAGTTCTGGGGATGCAAAACTCTTTGGTTTTTAATAGCTTTTACAGGACTTCTATCTAGGTGATGTGGGACATCTCATTCCACATTCTGAGTACAACTAGCCTACTGCAATGCCATACTTACATCACAAGCTATGCTTTCTTACCTCAAGCTCGCTTTCTTTAGGATACACTGCATTTAAGAAGGCAGATGTTTCCAGGTGCTGACGAACGCAGTAGGAATCAGCGAGTATGGGACTGTGGTTATGCTGTTCCACACGTCTAAGGTTGGATCGTAACAGTCCAAAGTCTTGCAACGCTGAATGCCGAAGTATCCTCCAACCACGTAGAGTTTGTTCCCGGAGGCCACGGCGTGGCAGCTCATGCGCTTGGCTGTCACATCTCCCACCTTGGTCCATTGGTAAGTCTCACTATTGAATTTGTAAGCAGAACAGGCAGAGAACTCTGTATCTCCACCCATAATAAAAATCTGGTTCCCCAGCACAGCTGCTGCTGTGTAACGCCAGGGCTGGGGACAGGTGGCCGGGACCGTCCACCTGTTCTCACACTGATCATAACACTGCACCTTGGGGAGCTTGTCATGACTGACACTGGTACCTCCGAAAGCAAACAGCTTGAGTTTGGCACTCACAACGGCAGCGTTGCTGACACCTTCTCGGAGTGGGGCCACCATGGTCCATTTGTTAGTTGTGGGGTCATAATGTTCTACTTGCTTTAGAGAGACAGAGGGGGAGGCTGGGAGACAGCCAGTTGCAGCTGTGTGCCCACCAACCACATACAGGCAGTGCTTGAGCTCGGCAGAGCCATGGCCAAACCTGGCCACCAACATGGGGGCAGCCTTGGACCACTCCTCATGCAGGGTATCGTAAACCCACACATCTTTTGAGACTCCATTTTCGGACCCCCGCCCCCCAGTAATGTATACTTTGCAGCCAATTGCACATGCACTGAACTCTTTTCTCGGGCTGGGAATGTCGGCCTTGGGAATGATTTCTTTGGCCTTCTGGTCTACCAGATACAGTTTGTCACACATGAAAGTCTGTCCTCCCAGGAGGAAGAGTGCATGGCCAGTTTTCCGAGGACGGGCACAGAGGCTGGTAACCACACCATCATTCTGCAAGATTTTCAGTTTGCACCGGATAGCCTCTTCCACAATCTCCTTACTCTTCCTCTGCTTAGTGATAAGTTCTTCCATGGCCACGTTCTCCATAAGATAGATGGCTGGCAAGAGGGCCAGCCTCACCGTCTGCAGCAGCTCTGGAAGGTAGCAGTAGCGCTTCTTCAGGTCATAACTGATCCAGTTCATTGCGGACTCATATACAAGCCTCTCATCTTCTGTCTCCAGCTCTTCGCTGGACAGGAGCTGTACAACCATGTCCTGGGGTAGCTGGAGGAAATCTTCGTTCTTCCGGATGGTCTGGAAGTTGCTGAGACACATTCTCCAGGACAGTTCGTACAGCTTGGTGCACTGGTGGGCATCGGACAGCAGCAGCATACCCAGGCAGTTGGTGGGATGTAGGTTCTTCTCCAGAAATTCTGCACAAGCATCTCGGATGTCTTGAAACTCCAGCATGTCCCCAGCCTCCAGGAGCGATTCTGCATTTTCTTCATTGATGATGACCCGGGAGGAGTATGCATAGTCGAGAAGCAGCTCCAAGACTTCTGGGTGGATGGAATTGTCAAAGTTGACTTCACTGTCCTGGCTCTCTTTCAGACCACCACTGAACATGGCCTCAAAGTAGCGGCTACATGCAGCCAGTACTGCCCGGTGGCAGGGGAAGGTCCTATTTCCTGCATGGAGAAGGACATCTGTGAAGAGCCGCTGCTGGCGCAGAAGGTTCAAGTGAGTGAGGACACTGTCCGCATAGGAAGACTTATGAAACAGGTAGATGTTGATGGAGCCACTGCTGGCCCTGGACTTGCGGTTCTCATGCACACTGACTGACATTTTGTTTCAACTCCTAAAAGAAAACAAAACAAACCTATTGAACGTGATGCTCTTTATGTTTCCAGCAGCAGAAAAGCCATGATCATTTTAGACAAAATAGAATGATGTTGTTAGTCTTGTTGCTCACTGTTCCGCAGTGGGTATGACCATTCCAGAACAAAGCCAGAGAGCTATCTGGAAGGAAAGGCATTCCTTATATGACTGTCAGGCTTCAAGATATTGAAGTTCTTTCAAATGTCAGTCAGCAGAAGCTAAGGGAAACGGGTCTCATTCTCACAGCTCCCAATGCTGGGCCAGCTGATTCACTGCAGGCCACTTAAAACGCCAAGCCTCCTGCTCTCATAACTCCAGGAACGCCAGGAGGGCACCAGCTTTAATGCCCCATACAGCATAAAGCTATGAGTAAAACAAACACCTACTAATTAATTCTATTAAGACTTCCTTTGGTAAGATTCAAATTCTGCATATACAGTAACTACCCAACTCCTGCAATGCTCAGACCTTTATTCAACAGTTAAACAGATCATTTCTAACCAGACAGTTCTACCACTACAGAGCTCTAAATGCACATTTCCATACATTGATCAGCAAGCTTCAGTGAAAGCACAGGATAGATTCCAGTCACAATCACCACTCATCTTTCTGACCCTGGACAGCTTCCAAAATGAGGATGTGGCACATAAAAAGGAAGATTCTGAGCAGGGAACTCGTGCTCTTTTTCTGTTCTTCCTGCTTTATACCAATTCTTGGAAAAACCAGTCACAAGAACAAAGGATGCACACACCCCTCTCTTTGAGTAAACACTCCATCACCAGGACTGTTATATCCCTACAGATGCTGGCACCTACATATCGGGAGTTCAAAATGCAAACACAGCTTTATTAAAATAAAAAAGCCTGCATAGGTGCATGTGCGTGTGGCATGTTCATGGATCAGTGTGTTCATGCACGGATGTGCATTTTATCAGTCATTGTTGATTTAGGACCACGCTAAAATTTATTGGCTAAGGTGATTTCCTAAATATCTAAATTGAAAGGACAGCAGCATCTAATGCTGTTTTGGATTTCTGCTGTAAGAGAACTATAGGACAATGAGATGGAAAATGTCTATTGTCCATCTTAAAAAGTGGAATCAACTCCTTTCCCCTTGACAGAACCCCTCTGCTACTTCAAAAGAATAAAGCCCTAAGAACCTGCTCCTCCAAGGATTCCCAAGGAAGTTGTTTATTTAGAAGGTAGATGGTATAATTGGTTACTGTATCTGTTCTAATCCAAAAACAACCAGAACTTGGAACATAGCAGTTTCAGCTGTTTTTCCTTCAGTCATTCAGATATTTATTTATTTATATTCTAAGAATTATTAATAAATGCAAATGGGTTACCAGATTCATGAGGTAGAACATCAGATTGCACTTTCCCCCACCAGATGTGAAAGTTGTCACATAAAATAACAAAGGATGCCTTTGCCATGCAGAGCATATCATTAGGTGATGTAACTTGTTTTCCTTTGTTTTTGGAATGTTACTTTCAATGATGAGTAAATAAGGCTGAACAGAACTAAAAAAGCAACAAAGTGACAAAGCTCCAATGTTAGGAAGACTTTGCAAAGCACCTGGTAATTTCCAGCTACTTAGCATAGGAAAATGATGAGGACCTAGGCATCACACCCACCTCAGGCTAGGACTCTACCTTCCAGCCCATCTTTACCAATGTGGAAAGTTCTGGAGAATGACCCATAGGAGCCTCTGCGAACGCACTTGGCTTATAAAGTATTCAGGTAGGCATGCACTTGAAACTTGCATGCTCCACCACTGTTTGACTGAGTGTGTTCAATCTGAAGTGTTTTGAAGAAGACTGTAAAACTAAATCTCACAAGATTGTCTAAATATTCAGGAAGCTGTCTCCTCTTGAGCCTCTAAGAGCCAAGGAAGGCACACAAGCATCCAAGGGCTTGCTGGCTGGGCTGGAATCATAACTATATGGATGGAACACTTGTCCCTGGAACATGAAATCCAGGGTGCTGTAAACAACATTCACAAACAAGTGTACACTTAAGACAACAGTTTGTCCAGAAGACCTTAGGATACAAGATCTGCAAAGCTCTGCATCCTGTCTTTATGCTCCTGTATTTTTCAGGTTGCCCCAGAAAGCCTGTCAACTTGGATACCATCCAACTGGAAAGGAACGGCACTGTCACAATCTCACATCTTGCAAGGTACACTTGAAGACCCAAGGGAAGCAGCTTGCTTTCTGGTTTAGGATTATGCAAACATCAAAATACCCACAGAAACCATTTATCCGGTCACTAAACACACCTTCAATGTAAAATGGATCGTTCTTCCCAGCATTTTTTTTTAAACCCCTAGAAACATAATACTTGCATGCCACGGAAATGGCCAAGAAAATGCACATATACTTAACCTGTGTCTACAAAGACAGAGAAAAGGGCTGCTATTACTGTGAAGATCAAAAGGGCTTCTAGTTACAGTAACCTCACTCCACTTACGGCTGTCTGCCTCCAGTACTTGGACACACCTCCGTCTCTCCTGGTTTTAAGCCTGATCTCAATCGCGTAAGAGAAGAAACGAGGTAGATGTTCTCAGGCGTTTACATTATCGATAACAATGGAACATTATAAAGATCTTATTAACAAAAATCGCCCTTCGTCCCTATAACATTTGCAACGCTATTTAACACACTGGCCATGCCTGTGAGGGCGACACCAAATTACATGTCCAACAAGTTCAATGTTTCATCTCCACCCCGCCCATCAATTGCCAGCCTTTGAAATGAATAATGTCACCCTAAAAGGCAAATGCTTGCACGAGAAGAAACTAGTTTTTCTGGAACCAGTTTTCATTCATTTGCCTGCAATGAATGGACCGCACCAGGGGGTCTGCGGGTGGCCACCAATAACCCCCTCCGCCCCCCCCCCCGAGCCGAGGAGGATGCGCCCGGGGCAATCGATCCCGCGTACTGGGCCCTCAAGGCTGCGGGGAGCCGGGCTGAGCTATCCCCAGCTCTGCTCCTCGCTCTCCCGGAGACTTGCCCCGGCGTCGCGCGGAGAAAGGGAGGCGGGTCGCTTCTCCAGCGCAGTCCGGCTCCCTACAGCTGCTCTACCCTGGGAGAAGCTGCCCAGCTTCAGCCGCAGCCGGGGTGGCGCGCTCCAGCTCAGCGCGGGGGAATATACCCCCGCCGCCGATCGGCCCCTTAAACCCGGGCGCCCGCAACAGGTCCGGGGCTGCCTGGGAAACTTACAGCAGTGGCGACTGGCCTCCGCGCACAACCCGCAAGGGTTCTCGCCTCGGTCACCGGCAGGGAGGCGACGAAGCTGGCGTCTAGGTCCCGAAAAGAGGCGGCGATCGCCCGTGTGCACCGAGCTCTAGGAGTGGGAGCGATGGCGCCCGGGGTAGTGGCTCCCACCGGCGCCCGCTCGGCCTCACGGTCTGCAGCCTCGGACCAGGAGCCCTGGCCCGGTCGAGCGTCTCCCGGAGCGCCCCTGGCGAGGGGAGAGTGAGCCAGCGGCAGCCGCCGCGGAGGCTGGACGGGCTGCGCGCGCCGGGGGAGGGAGCGAGGCTGCGGCGTGCGCGGGCGGCCGCCTGGCGTCTGCACCGGGTCTGAGCAGCGCCACTGCTGCGCTGACGGGTCTGTGGCTGCGGGAGCAGTTTGAGCCCGGCCGCCCCGCGCTTGCCTATAAGCGGCGCTCCAGCGGGGGGGGCGGGGGGGCGTATGCAAAGAGGCTCGCCAAGGGAGGGAGGGAGGGAGCATCCGTGGGGCCGAGGGGAGCGGGAGCCTGCTGGGGAGGAGGTGGCGAGGAGCTGGAGAAGAGCGTGGGGGAGTTACCAGGAGAGGAAGTTGGGGGGAGGTGGGCGGGGAGTGCTCCGAGACAAAGCGGACGCCCTATCTCAGCCACTGGCAGCTGCGGCGCCCGGGGACTGCGAAGAAAATAAGTTTGCAGGGACAGGAAAGTGTGCACACCCTCTGAAGCTGGGACGCCCACCACAAAGGAAAGGAGCCCTGGGCTGTGCGCTCCGCGGTGCCCTGTGCTCATCTAAGTGGCCAGGGCCACGCTGGGGGTCCACATAGCCAGCGCTGTGGGCAGGACACCCCGGTGGGGACAGTGGCAAGGGAGGACTATGAGTCTGAGCCCTGGGGACACTGCCGGTTGGGCTAGTGGAGATGTTGTGTTTCTCACTGGCAAGGACGCCTGAATGGAACCCCAGGCCTTCCCGGTGTTTTCCCTTCCCACCCCAAGCGGGTGTGGCAGCCGGACTCTGCCCCACGCGGGGCTGGAGCGGAGCTACCCGAGCTCTGTCCCGGCCGGCGCGACCACGTGCTTCGCAACCAATCGCTGGCGCCGCTTGATTCAAAGCTAACTCCTCAAAGGAGCAGCCACGCCGCCCTCCTCCCGGTAGCTCAAGTCTCGGTCACCCTCGCAGACCTGCCTTTTCCTGGTTTTTGCAGGTTGGTGGTGTTCGGAGTTCGGTCAAGAAACAGCAGTCCAGCCACACTCACACGGTTAACATCCCGCGTGCCCAGGCAGAAAAGAAGGCCGCTGTATAAGTCTCACTGTTGAATTTTCCCACCAATAGCTTGGGAGCTAAAACACCGGTCTGGGTTGGGTTTTATTCGATATTTGGGACTGAAGCTGTGTAGATTACCTATCCAAAGCCTTGTTTTACTTGTGAGAAAATAGAGGTCTTTGGCGGTATGAGTTGCCATAGCTGGAGGCCATGCACCCACTCAGTGTCCTGTCCTTCCCTCATCCCCACGCTTCACCCCCAGCTTTCCTTCAAATACCAGGCAGCGGTGGTTTAAACCGGCTACAGAGGCACCACATGGTGCTTCCAGAGACCACAGACTGCTGAAATGACGACCTGGTTCTTCATCGCAGCTCCCTTCTGGCTTTCTCTCCTGTATGTAGGCTGAGAAAGTTTGCTCATCGCAAAGAAAGAAAGACAGTGCCCTCTTAAGTCCTTTGTTAGCATTAACTCAGCCTCACTACAGCCTTTTAAAATCTGTTTCCTATTTTAATTTTTGATGCAGAGCCTTGGTTTTAGTCTGCTTTACAAAGCCAGAAGAGCTCTATCAGTTCAAGGTAAGAACCAGGTGCGGAGGGCCCGGGGACAGGAAGGAGCCAAGCAGGCAGAACCTTGTTCCCTAGGAAAGAAGGTTAAAAGTCAGCAAAAAGCAACCGGATGGAAACACTGTGGACACCAGAGATAGGCGCTGAAAAGAGAGAGGTGGGAACGTGAAGCCTTTGCACATAGGTCTCTTTAAAAACACGTTTCTGTAGCCTGTGGCAGAGCCAATCAGGGCAGACACCCATGCATCTTCTAGACTCTTCTGCCTGCCTTCCTTATGTTGGGTTTGGGTCAAACTACTTAATAGTTAATGTCTTTAATAGTTAATGTCTTCTGTTAAGAGATGAATTTTTTTTGTCCTTTGACAAGTATCTGGTTCTTCTTCCAGTCACTTTCACAAAGCCATTTAGAACTGTCCTAGGTGCTATTGCCTAGAAATAGCATGTGTGCCCAGCTCAGGCTGAGGATTTTGCCACTAGAAGCCACCATGATTGGGACAGATAATCTGTTCTATTGCATCTACCACCTGAAAACTGCAATGTCCACAAACAAGGGGACAGTAAATTTCACCTCTCTTTGCAAAGAGCTTGGCTAAACAGGCAGTGCTGAAGAAAAAGAACCCAGAAGGTCATCATGAAGTTATCCATTCAAGAATCTTTTGTACCTAATGTTGCCACTTTCTGTGTGTCAAGAAAAGAGAAAAAAATGTAGTCTGGAAACTCTTGAAATGAATTCAGTGACCATACACACTCCCTGTATCTGCTACAGGGAAATAACAGAGTAAAGAAATATATGTAGGTTATAAAAACTAGAAAATGTTTTCCTGCTGAAAGACACAGGAACTAAACCTAGATTTTAGGAAGGCCTGTGTGCTGCTGATGACCACCCACAGATGACAGTGGTCGACTTCAACCAGTATATGAAAAAATTTCAGGCCATTGGGCAGTTGCTAATGTTTTTCTCAAGGTTGACAGTGATTTGCAAGTTAGTGGATTTATGATCATAGAAACTCAAACTCTGTAATTTCCGTAGTGTCTCTCAGCCAATAGTAAAAGTAATTCTTATCACCCTGCTCACAGGAAGAAAAGGTGAGTCTTGTACCTGTACAGGAAGAAACCTCTTAACAGGGCTGTGATTGCACTGGACTAGGATCGACATAGCAGATATCTGAGTCACAAACAACTTAGGAAGGGCCGCCATTCTGCTTTGTCAATAGCCAGTGCTTGCTTCAGGATGTCAGGCCGGTCCTGCAGGCCTCTGGGAAGGGAAGCTGTCTCTGCCTCAGCCTTGTGACATAAAACCAAGGTCTCATTTTTTAATGCTATTAAGAAGCTGTGCCCAAGGCTTTGGCCTTGTTATCTTCCTTAACAATGTTATTTTGTTAGGCAGCAAAATCAGCAGCACGGGGTTAAATGTATTAGCTGCCTTCAAACCTAATCTATCTTCATTCATTCCTAATTTACACTCCAGCTGAATTAATGAGAATGATTTAATTAACACCCAAACCAGGGACAGGACAGCTCAGGGGATTAGACCATACAGTGGGGCCATGGCAGCTGCCACCCTGTGTCCTGCGGGTACCCAAAGCTCCACCCAAATTCAGACATACCCCTGCTGGGATTTCTGGAGGATTCTCTTTGTTCTTTGATCCATTTCCTCATTGGGTTTCAATTGCTGAGAGGATGATGGTGCTGTTCTTCCTCTTGTTTGCTATATGGACTTTGAGACTCATGCCCAGTAGAGTCAGCGTGACATAGAGCCAAATGCCCACCTGAGGTGTGATGCCAATCCTCATTGTCAACTGGATTTCGAATCACCAAGTATACCTCTGGGCATGTCTGTGAGGGTGTTCCACAAGAAGTTAACCTAGGAGGGAAGACCCACCATGAACGGGCCATTCCATGGGCTTGTGGTTCCAGACCAAATAATTGTGGAGGAAAGAATGGAAAATGAGCCAAACACCAGCATTCACCTGTCTCTGCTTCTTCACTGCAGTGTGACCAGCTACCCTCATACCATTGCCATACCTTCTGCCCACAGCGGACTGTATTCCCTCAAATTGTGAGTCAAAATAAACCTTTTCTCCCTTAAGTTGCTTCTTGTTGGGTATTTGATGTCAGCAATGAGAAAAGTAACTAATTCAAAAGATTTGTGCTTCCCTTTCTATCGTGTTGAACTTGTGTTGGAGAGTGGATACCCAGCCAAGGATGCCATCTCCCAGCAGAGAGAGAGAGAGAGAGAGAGAGAGAGAGAGAGAGAGAGAGATGGAACACCAACTCCACAGGAACCTGTGGTGCTGATGCCCCTCCCACAGAGTTGTCCCCAGCTGAGGAGAGAAGAATAAACTTTTTTTTTTTTTTTTTTTGGTTTTTTTGAGACAGGATCTCCTGTAGCCCCAGCTAGCCTGGAACTCACTATGTAGACCAGGCTGGCCTCGAACTCACAGAGATCTGCCTGCCTCTGCCTCCTGTGCCACCATGCCTGTCCTGGTCTGATCATATTTTAACACTTCAGGTGCTTATGTTTACTCTATGTACTACTTTATGTATATTTTGTGAGTTAAACTTGTTATAATGTGATTTTTAATTTCAAATTCCACTTGCTCATTGCTGTTGGATGAATACAGTTGGCTTTTGTCTTAGGATTTTTAATGGCACACTTCATGAGAAAGTTTATCTTTGTTCACGTTGACCTCTTCTATTAAGAAGTGGCAGGGGGCCTGGAGAGATGGCTCAGCAGTTAAGAACACTGACTGTTCTTGCTGAAGACCCAGATTCGAATCCCAGCACCCACATGGCAGCTAACAACTGTCTGTAACTCCAGTTCCAGGGGATCTGACAGCCTCTTCTGTCCTCCGAGGGCATTGTACAGCCAGGGTGCACTTACCTACATGCAGGCAATACCTACATACACATAAAATAAAAAATAAAATATTTAAAAAAAAAAAAAAAGAGTTGGTGGGGGAAGCTGGAAGTGGTAGTGCATGCCTTTAATCCCAGCACTCAGGCAGAGGCAGGTGGATCTCTGTGAGTTTGAGGCTAGCCTGGTCTACATAGTGAGTTCCAGGCCAACTGGGGCTACAGAGAGACCCTGTCTCAAAAAGACAAAACAAAAAGAATTTGGGGATTCATTCTTCCTTTGAGACACCCTCACTTTATACAACCTCCAGTGGCATTTCAAAGGCCAGACAGTTTATTGGCTGCTTACCTCACCAGGACTCAGCGGGACATGCACGAGTCATCTTTTTCTGGTATAATTCTATAAGGTTTGTCATAGTAAACCGAATCATCTAGTCTGCTTACGTCATATCTACTCCAGAGCCTTCAAAACAATGGTCTGCACAGGCTGGGTAGATTATAGGTTTTAGGGGCAGGATTTTAAAAGCAGTTTTTATTATTTTCTCTAATGATAAAGCCAACATATGGTAGAGATCTGGAAACTACAGAGAAGACAAAGAAAAAGTGTAGCCTCCACTTTGAGATAATAACACTGCACACTTCAGTTCCATTCTTGCTACAACCACAGCCTATTTTATTTTTAGTAGTTAAGGGGTTAAGTACAGAAACTAAAACAAAGCTTGAATTCCTGCTCTCA